GAAAAATAGCAATCCACCGAACAGCTTTTAGCAACATGGCACCGGGAAAAAAATGACGTCTCACATCACGATTTTTTTTTTCATGACGCACCTGTCACACTGCGAAAAAATGCACGCTATATGAATTCCAAAAAAGTTTTGAAATATTTATGACGTAATAGAAGCGAAGATACAACAAATCCCGACATCTGTGACTGAGAAATCTTACTGGAGGACGAATGTATTAATGAGGTATCGAATTTTTGAAGAAATTCTTTCGTATTAGCGAAATTCCTAACTTTGATTCTTTGCACGTTACACATTCATTATAGCGAAAACCGAAAAACCAACTATTTGAAATGCTGCTTCATTATACCGATAACTGCAAAACCGATCATTCGGATACTATACCCCCACCATTCCGACATGCAAAACAGCGATAAAAAAAAAAAAAAACAATAAAAATAAGAAAAAAAGACACCCTAGACAAACAGTTCATCCGTCTGCCAAAGAAATAAAATTCCATTAAATAAAAGGCATGACAGATGAACAAAGCACATTTCATTTTATATTTTCTTTATGTTGTTTGAATAATATTATAATGAATGAACGAATGGACGAACGAATAACGAATATATATATATATATATATATATATATATATATATATATATATATATATATATAAATGTGAAACAAAAAAAATCTTTATGTTAATGGACAAATTAGACATTTTAACGCACACACACACATACACGCACACACACACATATACACGCACGCACACACATTCGCACATATCCGGAAACATAAAAGTATATTAGCGGTGTTTAAAATTCCAGCTTAATTATTCAAAAGCGGGAAGCATTTAAATTGATAGTACCACACGTCCCCATTCAAAACACTCGTCATCACCATCTTCATCGTCATCGTCATCATCATCACCACCTGATAATCATCATTACCATCACCACCATCAGCATCATCATCATCATCTTAGCCATCATCATCAACATCGTTAAGGTAATTAATCGAGCTATTATTTTTTGATAAAAAATTGGGAGGTCATCGTTATCTCTCAGTCATCTACATCATCATCATTCATTCATTTTCACCCATTCATTCACTCACTCATTCATTCATTCATTCATTCATCCATCCATTCATTCATCCATTCATTCATCCATTCATTCATTCATCCATTCATTCATTCATTCATTCAATCATTCACTCACTCACTCACTCACTCATTCATTAATTAATACATTCATTCAATCATTCATTAACCCATTCATAAGTAGAGAGCTACGTAGCTTTCGCTAATTTCAAAAACTTTCTTAGCCAGCTCGGCGTCAGTCATGAGATTGGAAGGCGTGGCTATCTGGCAGCTGTCCAGGTACTGACCGCTGATGCTTTCGAAGCTCTCATCCACAGCTGCGTAGATTGTCGTCTGAGCCCCTTGCTTGGGCGTCTGTTTGTGTGCGTGTGTGTGTTTGTGTGTATGCATGTGTGTGTGTTTGTCTGTTTGTTTGTGTATGTATGCTTGTGTGTGCGTGGTTGTACACACACACACACACACACACACACACACACACACACACACACACACACACACACACACACACACACACACACACACACACACATACATACACACACACACACACAAGCCCATGTGTGTGTGTGTGTGTGTGTGTTTGTCTGTTTGTGTATGTTTGTATGTGTGTGTACATGTGTGTGTATGTGTTTGATTGATTGATTGATTGAACGAATGTGTGTACGTATGTGTGTAACAGCATCAGCAACAGTAGCAGTAGCAGCAGCAGCAACAACAACAACAGCAGCAAGCCACCTTAAGCAGCTTAACAGTGTCAGCAATCCAAGCAAGAGTGTAGAAGGGCTGAGGTAGTTTGTGATAGAATGAAGATGCGATCGAACCCGGGTGCAGGCAGTTCACTGTCACACCTGAGTTAGTGAAATGATGGATGAATAGAAAAAAAATGATTGAATGAATGAATGAATGAATGAGCGAATGAATGATTGAATGAATAAACGGATGGGAGGATTGATGAATGAAGGGCAGAATAATAAAATAAATGAATAGATGAAAAGACTAGATGGATGGGTGAAAGAAAGATTAAACGGATGGATGAAAAAATGAATGAATTAATGAAAAAATTAATGAAAAGATGAAAAATAGATGGACGAATCAGAAAATAATTAATAAATGAATGAATGAGAACTAGCTAACCAACCAACCAACCAACCAGACAGCCAACCAGCCAACTAACAAACCAACCATATAACAAACTGATCAATCAAACAACTCAAAAACAAACTGATCAACTAATCATTCAATTGACAAACTAGTAAAAACACCAACATACCAACAAACCAAAGAAATTTCAAAAAATTCTAAAAAAAACATTTACCAATTCCATCTAATTGTCTTGATAATTCTTTGGTAAACAAAATCTGCAAAGCCTTTGACCTTCCATACAAACTTATTGTTGTCGTCGTTTTCTCACAGTTCAAATCCTCCAAATCAATTGTCCTAACCATTTTGTGGGCCAGCGATGATACGTTGATTATTCTGCTAGGGGCACTTTTCATTAGGAGATCTGTACAGTACATACATGTATGTATGTATGTATCTGTATGTGTGTGTATGTGCGTGTATGTTTGTATGTACGTAAGTATGTATGTATGTGTCTGTGTATGTATGTATATATGTATGTATGTATGTCTGTATGTATGCTTATGACTAACCAAGCAATAGTTTAGTCAGGAGGAAATGGCCGAGGTAATTAGTAACGAAAACAACTTCAAAGCCCTCAATTGTTTTGCGTGGAGTATAAGCTGAAAGCAATAATAGTAACAATAACATAAACAAAAATAGTAATAATAATAATAATAAATGCTAACAATCACTTGGCATTCCAGCATTGTTTATAAGAATATCCAATCTTTGCTCCTCCAGTAGAAACTTCTTCGCAAACTCTCGAACACTTTCCAGCGAAGACAAATCAAGTTTCCTCACAAAAACATTCTCATTCCCTGATTGCAATTTGATGTGAGTGGCCATGCTCTCTGCATGAGGCACATCCCTACAGGCCATGATGACTCGGGCCTGTCGTTTGGCTAGGTCCAGGGCAGTTTCATAACCAATACCTGAGAGGTGGAAGAACAGAAGTAGATGTTCAAAAAAAATAAATAAAGGCAGTACAACCGCAAAAAAATAATTTTTAATTTTGATTTTAAGTAATTTGAATTTCAAATTCCTCACCTTTATTAGCTCCTGTGATGATGACAGTTTTTCCATCCAAATTTCCCATCCCAGTATAGGTACACGTAGTGTAGATCATATACAGACGCAGGCATACGTACAAAATCACCAACGCAACAATAATTATTAAAAATGAGTCCATTTCTACCTAATTTTGTAAAAAAATTGATTGACTGAATTTGTGAGTATTTAGTGAAAATGTAACCAAGGACTAAGCTAAACTAAAGGGTTCTTCTATTTGAATCGCTTAACTGAAAGTGAAACTTAGTAAGAAAATTTAAAGGTAAATTTTAATCATAATCTTACCAGATACATAGGATTAGAATACATTTGATTATTACGAATTATACTGATAGCCATTGATCCCATATTATTTATATTACAATACAATTACATGTACAATAAATACATAATATATAGTATAAATATTTATACATTTATTTCATACGTATTTCAATAATATTTTCGTACAACGAATACATATACACTCCAGTAAATTTTCTAATACAAAGTATATAAGATTGCATGTTATAAATTATATAAATTCATTTATACTTTCATTATATTATCGTAATAATAGTCATATACTTTCATTATATAAAGTATTATTTAAGGACAACTACAGCTACTTACTGGATTTATCAGATAGTTTTTCGGAATATTTCAACAAAACCTGACAATTTTATTTTACTTTAACAAAAAAATTGAAAATCATGTTTATTTACATATTTATGTTAATAAAACGTCAACAAAGATGAAAAAATAAACGTTTTTGTTCGCTATATTGCCTACAAACTATTTATCAATCAGCCAATCCAATCAATCAATCAATCGATCGACCAACCAACCAGCTAACCAATCGATCAATCAACCAATCAATCGACCAACCAACCAACCAATCGATCGATCGATCAATCAATCAATTGATCAATCAATTTATACAAAGTAGTTAGGATAATTTATAAAAACCAAATACACCAAACGAGCAATAAACTTGTTAAACTACGCACCAAAACAACCTTTTGTTACGTAAAAATCTATGAGCGACTCTTGGGATAATTTTGAAAATGTTTCATTCCCATTTCGCAACAACTTTTAAGTAGGTAAGTTCTATCCTAATATATAACTTCTAAAGCTGAAGTTTTGCATTAGATAGCCATATACGAATTGTAAAAACTAGCATTTATTCACAAAGCTATCATATTTTTCAAAAGAAAAAAAACTAAACCATACATTTTCACCAGTTTCAAAACCCAAAATGTTTTTTTTTAGAATTTTCCCAAATAATCTTCACTAATGTCAAACACTTTCTTCGCTAGGGCCATATCTTGGGTCAGTTTGGAGGAGGCGGTGATTCGGCAGTCTGATAGATACTGGCCACTGACATTCTTCAAATTTTCGTCTACTGCAGCGTATATAGAAGTTTGAGCGCCATCTTTAGACGTCTGAAAAAATAAAATTAAAAAAATTGAAACTACATTTAGGTGTTTCTTATACCGCTTTTGTTAATTAGTAGCAGAATTTCAAAATCAAACGCATAACTTAGCTAATTTTCATCCAAATTTTAAAGAACTACCTTTGCTAATTTTAGAAATATAATAATTTTAACAATGACGGAGAATAGTCCCTTCATTTTGGAGAATATGTTTGTGTCGACTATACCAGGATGCAAGCAGTTCACAGTAACACCTTCACACAAATAAAAATGTAATGTCCTATGCGTGTGTTATGCGTGTGTGTGTGTGTGTGTGTGTGAGTGAGTGTGTGTGTGTGAGTGTGTGTGTGTAAATGAATGCGAATGCATGTGAAGTAATATAACAGCATAAGTCAGGGGTGGGCAATAAATGGAACATCAACTAATCAAAAACAAATCAACCAATAAGCGTCAGCCAATCAAGATCAACTCTTCAACACCAACCAATAATTCATCAGCCACTCAAAATCAACTAATCAAAATTAACTAATCACCATCGACCAGCAAAAACCAGCCAGCCAATCACAAACCTGTTCCTTCTAACTGCCTGGATAACTCCTTAGTAGACAAAATTTGCAATGCTTTCGATCTAGAGTAAAGCATTTTCACATTTTTCGAATGTTCACTATTTAGATCTTTGAGATCCGTTTCCGTTGTGGACGTATGCACCATAGATGATACATTCACAATTCTACTAGGCGCGCATTTTTTCAGTCGATCTTTCGAAAATAAAATTTTTTTAAATATTGATAATATAAAACAAAACTAAAAAAATATTTTCAACCCAGCAAGAGTGAAGTTAAGAAGAATGGACCCAGGTAGTTAGTGACAAAAGTGATCTCGAAACCTTCTGATGTCCTAACTATGTCTTGACCTGAGGATGAAAATAATAATAATAATTTGCATTTATATAGCGCAATTTTCCTAAACTTAACTGCTGAAAAAGAGTGTAATGATTGATAGCAATAATTTTAAATGTAATATCAAAAATAATCCCACAAAAAACGTAATAAACAACAAAAATAATTTAATGAAAAAAAATTTTAAAAAATAGTTTTCTTAATACTTGCACTAAGCATGCCAGCATTGTTAATAAGAACATCTAATCTTTTTTCATCTTTCAGGAAGTCTGTGGCAAATTTTCTAACACCAGCTAGATTAGAAACATCCAAATACCTCACATAAACTTCTTTGTTTCCAGTTTCTGATTTGATCTTCTCGGCCATTTTTTTGGCATTTTCCAAATCTCTACAAGCCATGATGACCTTGGCATTCCTCCGAGCTAGATCGAGAGCTGTTTCGTAACCTATACCTGAAACACGATATGTTGAATAGTATTTTTTTATTTTTAAACATTTTTTTGTTCCAAATGGTAATTTTTTTTATGTTCCAGTAGAGAATAAAAGTATAAGAAATGCTATTCAAATTGCTATCATTTATCCAGGTGTAGATTTACATTACAATGTTTATAATAAAATAATATAGCATATATCTATGCTCACATACACACACAGACACAAACACACACTTACAAACACTTACACACACTAACACAGATACACATAAAAATGTATAATTAAATCTATAATTAACTTTTGAATTAAACCACCTTTGTCAGCTCCGGTGATGACAACAGTTTTGTTATCCAGCTTAGCATCACTAACACACTTGCCAGTTGTAAGTTTGAGATAGGCAAGGAATAGTAAGTATAAAATGAACAATATCACAACTGTGTATAAAATGAAGTAGCAGATTAGGCAGAACATGATATAGTTTAGTTCGTGTTGTTGTTGTTGTTACTGCTATTTTTATATTACTTTTACTATATTCTCAATGGTCAATTCTCTTCACTATATTAGCCCGGATTCTTTATTGATGGATTAAGAAGATTATCTGAAATTTAATCTTAATGTATGAATGTACATAAGAATTTTATTATAATTGAAAAATTGATAAAATGTTTAGTCGTTTATTAAAATTATGATTGTTATGCTAACAGGAAATCCATTTTCTGAAACTTAACGTGGATGTGGTTAACATTAAAGTTATTAAAAAATAATTTTTAACAATCAAATTCTTGATTGTTAATTAAATACTCTTCTCCTATATATATATATATATATATATATATATATATATATATATTAATGATCTTTATATATATATTATGTATGTATTGTATATATATATAATATATTTATGTTTGTATGTATATAACAAACTATAAGTATCTACTTAGTAATGCAATATATTAACATTTTTTTACCAAGCAATGTTACAAAACTGTGCTTTCTTTAGTTAGCAGGTTAGCTTAACAATGATGAAACTGTGTAATAAAAAAAATAGAACATTACAATACAATGGTTATCGTTATTGAATAAACAGCACTTGAATACTATTATTAAACAACATTGATCAACCCCAAATAAATTATAATAATTAATAAAAAAAGTATTTTATAAAATAATAAAAATAATAAATACCTGAATGAAGTTTAACAAAGTAATGTTAAATTTTCATTTAACAACCAGTATTATTGTGATTTCTTACTGATTTGTCAGAAGAACACACAAAGTGAGATTCACATAGGATACAAATTAAATTTAATTATAAATTATGAAAACATTATATATAAAATAAAATAATTAAAATAATAAATAATTAATTCATTGCCTGTGAAAAATTAACAAGAAATAAGTAATTAATTATTTTAATAACTAACATCAAAACGTCGCGATTTCGTTGAATATGTTCTAAATAACATTTAAAATACGTGATCAATTCTTTAGAGTTTGGACATTATTAAATAAAATGACACTCATTTGAAATTTCGATCAAAAGTTGCTCTGTTTTGAATTTGAAAGAAGATAATTTACAAATTTAAATACTTAAGTTAACTTTTAAATAAAAAAAGTAGACGGAGTTATTTGTTAAATGCTCATTAATATTAATTGGCATAACGTAAACACGGCGTCTAAAGTTAGAAAAGTGTGATTTAAACTGTCAAAAAATCAATTTAGACTTGAAAAATTATAATTCTAATTATATTAAATTAAAATTTTTTCATGTTTTTATTATAAAATTTTATTTTCATTAAATGTCATTGTTTCGGAAACTTTCAAATTGATAATTTTGCAAAAGTGCCCGAAAATTTTTTTTATAATGTCAAGTTCAATACACACAATCCTTGAGAATAAAATTTCTGTTAATTATCTTACTAAATGAGCAATTAATTTATTAATAATTACTAATATTAATTAGTTAATTATTTATAATTAGTTTATTATTTTTAACTATTTTAGAAAAAATTTCAGAAGCAATGAAATTCTTAATTACGTCGTCGCGTTTTGCCTCTAGATTTCACGTTAGTTCGTCAAACTTTAACCTTTTTATTATGTATATTATTATTATCGTTATAATTATTAAAATAATTTTTTTGTTTTTATTATTATTATGGTTATATATGTATGTATGTAAGTATGTATGTATGTATGCATGTATGTATGTATGTCTGTCTGTACGTATATATGTATATATATATATATATATATGTGTGTGTATGTCTGTGTATGCATTGTTACATATCATTACTACACTGCTTAATTTTATTTTTTAAAACGTACAGAAATTCCAGACTCAACTGTTAACATCATCATCATCACAGCAACTGAAATTCGCATCACCATCATCGTCGTCGTCGTCGTCAGACTCACTCACATCATGTCTTGATGATGATTACGGTATTAGAACCATCACACTGAATAACCCAAGAAAGAGGTTCTATTAATTTGAAATTTTAAAATTAAAAATTAGAATTAAAAATGAATTTTATGTTTTGATACTTTGTGCTTTTGCTCTAACTCTACTGTTTCTTAAGTCATTAGAGTAAAGATACGTTTAGATTTTCAGCATAACTTAGCAAAAATAAATTTTCAAATGGCAACAGACTGAGAGAGGAAAAACGTTAAAAGCACACAAGCACGCACGCACGCACACAAACAAACACACATTCAGGAATGCCTTATCCTTAGAAATGCTGCAATCCTTGGCAAGTAGCATAAGCAAGCCGTGGGATAACTTAAGGATCATCGTCATCAAAGCAACAGGTCCGGTCTTTTCATCTGGGCACGATCTTAAAGAATTGGTGTGTAATGCAATTTTTTTTTTCTCTTAAATTTACTTTAACTTTTGGCGGTGTCAAATGTAGTTTTTTTTGTAACTTTACAGTGAGCTTAATGTCTATTTACAGTAAGGTTGATGTTGTATACTCTAGCCTGATTGTAAATCTGACTCGATATGAATTCGTCGTGAATTTAATAAAATAAAACTAATTCTGACGAACATTTCTAGTAAATGTAATGTAAATTTTTTGCAAATTTACTGTGAAAAGGTCAATACATACACTAACAATGGTTAATTTCTTCTGCAAAATTCTTGAAAAATATGAATATAGTGCATAGAAAAAGTATGTTCAAATCAACGCGAACGATTGAGGTTCTGCTTGCGTTCAAACTCGATCACCGTAACACAAAACCAGGAGACTTTAATTTTTAAGCTATCACACTGCCTTTAATGACACTTCAATTTTAAACTAAAAACATTGTCTTACTTACTTTTCTTTGGGGGATAGTCGAAAGAACGGCCGAGTAGCTACCACGCTGATGTTATACAACTCTGTTCCAAGCTTATGAACTCCTTCAAAGTTCGCTTGTCATTCCATGATTTCCAAAATTTTATATTTTAACTAGGGTTTTTACGTGTATTTTATTTTTAATTGTGTTGGTGTGTGTGTTTTTTTTCAGGATATACCAGTGCCAATCATGGCTCAAGTTCAAGGTTTTTATTCATTCATTCATTTGATCATTAATTCATTTATTCATTCGTTCGTTCGTTCGTTCATTCATTCGTTCATTCTTTCGTTAGTTCATTTTTTTTTCATTCTTTCATTCATTCACCCATTCATTTTTTCAGGATTGGCAACGGCAGCAGGTTGTCAGCTGGTAGCCAGTTGCGACATCGCCATTGCCGCAAAGAGCGCAAGATTTGCAACGCCTGGGTTTATTATTCTCATATAAACTTAATTAATTAATTAATTCATTCATTCATTCATTCAATCACTCTCTCTCACACTCACTCACTCACTCACTCACTCACTCACTCACTCACTCACTCACTCACTCACTCACTCACTCACTCACTCACTCACTCACTCACTCACTCACTCACTCACTCACTCACTCACTCACTCACTCACTCACTCACTCATCCATCCATCCATCCATCTATCCAACCATCCAGGATCAACCACAGTTTATTCTGCACCACACCGGGGGTGGCTCTAGGTAGGGCCGTGCCCCGAAAGGCAGCCCTCTACATGCTCTTCACTGGTTTCCAGATAACTGCCGATGGTTTATTATCATTTCTTTTGTTCTTGTTATTGCTATTATTATTATTATTATAATTATTATTATTTGTTGTTATTAATGATAAATTAATTTCGAATAATTTTCTAACAGAGGCCCTGAGGTTCGGTCTGATCAGTGAAGTAGTGGCCGACGAATTTCTCGAAAACGAAGTCAGCCGTTCATAATTTTTGTAATTATTCTTAATATTAATTTTATTATAATTAATAATTATCAGTAATATTATTTTCTTATTAATATTATTATTTACTGTTATAATTAGTATTATTGATCACCTTTTTAGTCATAGAATTAAGATGTTGTATACACAACGCACGCACATAGCAGAGTGTGACAGTTTTTTAAGGTCTGCACTGACAGGATTCGAACCTGGTTTGCGAGAAAAAACGGCGGCAAAATATTTGGCGCTCTTACCCTCTGAGCTATTCCACTGACATATCAAAAGTTATTGTGGGTTTTGCAGGCAAGAAGAATCGCCGAATCGATATCTAGATCGAGTAAGCCGGTTATCAAACTCGGCAAGAAGGCGTTCTACCAACAAATCGGTCTGAATCAGGAGGCCGCCTACGAGTGAGCACTATTTTGAAGTTTTACATCCTCAAAGTCTCATCTTCTCAAATTTTATATTTTATTATTCTATTATTTTTCCATAAATGACAGTCTGGCCACGACGACAATGGTCGACAATTTGAAGATTAGAGATGCACAAGAAGGTATTGAAGCTTTCCTACAGAAACGACAGCCAAAATGGAATCACAAAGGATAAAAATCTGTTTTTTAGAATGTAATTAACTTAAAATCATTTTCAAATATTTATAAATATAGTTGAACAATTGATTGTTATTAACTAATTTGTTGATTTATTAATTATTAGTCTTGCCTTTAATGTTAATCTTGTCAACAAACAAATTGATAATTATAAGCCTATCACTTAAGCATTTTATATTTTCGTTGTTATATGTGCATTTTTATCACGTTTTTACCTCAAATTTCGTGTATTAATTGTTAATTTGTTATTAAAATGGTTTTATCTGTAATTTTGATGGTAATAAAACTAATTTTTTCAACTTTTTTGCTTTAAATTCTTGAATATTAATGTTACTATGAAGTTAGTAAGGAATTTATATTTTTCTTAAAAATGAAACGCTTGTCTTTTTTCGAAGTTGCCATGGTAACTAATATAAACCAAGTCGCCATTGTTTTACTTTTAATAATTTTGGGTGCAAAATATTAATTTATTCATTTATTTTGAAGTTTTTTTTAAATATTTAATTAATAAATAAATACAAACTTACAAATTTTTGAAAAATATTATGAATCAAACGGAAATACATAATAATAAAAAAAAAAATTTCGACCCCAGCAAAATAAAATTAGACTTGAATGATCTACCGACCATTCCGGCTCGCCTGGGTAGTGCAAGATATAAGGTGCTACCTGAAATTAGGCAGAAATTATCGACCGACCAGTTGACCAAAAATCAGAAAAACAGCCAGATTTCTCATGAAAAACCCGCATCAAAAGTTTCAGAGAAAATTCATTCAAAAATTAATGAAACCTCTTCAAAACCCCTTAGCATCTCTTCCGGAAAAATTACTTCGAAAACGAAAAACAACGACGAAATTAACGTCAGTGAAGATGACATCACCACCATCACAACATCAAATCCTATTAACATCGCCATCAAAATGCCCAGTGGCCATCTGATGAAGGGGCTCTTCAGTCCAACCAACACACTAAATGACATTCTGAAGTACGTAATCAACAAAAATTCACCGCCAGACAAAAACGTTCGGCAGGGCGGCGTAATAAGCAGACGACATTTTCTAAACAAAAATTCACTGCTAAGCAAGGGCACTAATGAGACTAATGTCTGTGTCAGCTCGCCTGCTTCTAAAAGCTTCACTAATGCTTCTACTAACAACCTCAACAATGTTTCTATTTATAATTGGACCCCAGGTTCTAATACTACTACCATTACTGCTATTGCTGCTACTACTGCTGCTGCTACTACTGCTGCTTCTACTACTACAACTTTAACAACGTCAAAAATTTTTTCAAGTATCAATCAATCAATCAACGACAATGATATTAATAATAACAACAACAGCAATATCAATAATATTATTAATGATAAAAACAACACAACAACAACTACTACTACTACTAATAATAATAATAACAATAATAATAACAATAATAATATAAATACTTACAAAAAGGTTCATTTTAAGAACCATGCATGCAATACTATATATAGAAACATGAACCTAAGCTTAAAAGCACTTGGCGTCAGCGACAGAACGACATTATACTTTTATTACGGCCGGCAATAATAAGAAAAGTGTAGCGCTATATAATTTCTTTATTATTCGTTTCTTTTATTGTTCTTTTTCCGTTTTCAATTTCGGTTTTATATCGAGTTTCATTGATTTATTATTGTTATTGTTATTTATGATTATTGTTATGGCAGTTGTCATTGATTTGCTGGAGTTTTATTTGTTTGACGTTTGATTGATTGATGGGTGAATGAATGAATGAAGGAAATGAATGAATGAATGAATGAATGAATGAATGAATGAATAGTGGATAAGGGAATGAACGAATGAATGAAAGTTGAATGAATGAATTTTATGCGAGAGTAAATGAATGCCTGATCGTTTGGACATCTCGACCTGTAAATGAATGAAAAGATGCGGAGCGAGATCTTCTGTGAATGGATGGTTGAATGAATGAATGAATGAATGAATGAATGAATGAATAAATGAATGAATGAGTGAGTGATTCAATGAATTAATAAATGGATAAATGGATGAATGAGTGAATAAATAAACAAGCTAAGGATTGAAAGAATGCAACAATAAACGATTGAATGATTTAATAGAGTTGTATGTTCACAAGTAACAGTTTGAACGAACGATTGGTAGGTGACTTTGTACCATTTCTTTTTCATTTTACGTGGTTGTTTTTGTAGAAGAAAGGTATCGGAAATGATATGCTT